TATTTATCCAGTAATGATCTAACTGATCATGTCAAACAATAAAGTTAAATTGAACTTCTGATTCAATATAAGATATAATTCAATTATTTAATTTCGAAGAATATGATTAAACATTACATAATCATATATCATTCAAGTAATCAAATTAATAAATGTCATCATGACATTAATTACGTGCTGTCCTTCAGGGATAAACATAAATTCAAAATGATACATTTTTAGAAATATGTACTATTTCGAGAGCAAGTTGTATTTATTGTTGTTCATTCAAAAGCAATATTTTAATATTCTTCTGAAATAGTGAAAATTATAATCCGTGCTCTTCGGGAGCAAATAATATTCTTCTGGAATATTAATTATGATGTTGTGCAATTTCATGGACAATAATGAACTATTATTTCTAAACATTAACTCTTCACGAGCCATATATTTGCTTCTTCAAGAGCAATGTCAATATTTTTCTGAAATATTGAAATCGGAGTGTCATGCTCTTCGGAAGAAATATATTATTATTATTTGAAATAATAAATTGTATAAAAATTAAGTGTCATGCTCTTCATGAGCAATAACATATTATTATTAGAAATAATAAATTGTATAAAAATTTATTTTTCAGAAGTTAAAACACAATTTATTTTATTTAATTATGCTCTTCACGAGCAAATAAAATCTAACTAGAATATTAATAATAGTGTGCTACTTTAGAAGCAACAATATTTGTAATAGACATATCTACGATTAATATTTTTCTGGAATATTAATTATAATATTGTGCTGCTTCAAACGCAACAACATAATAAATTATTAATTTAAAGTTTATAGAAAAATATCTAAAAATATTTAATTACCATATAGACATAATATTAATTTATATAGAAAAATTAATTACCAAAAATGTATTAGCAAAAAAATCTTCCAAACATGCATTAGAAAAAGAATCATCATATACCAAATTTAATGGTAGAATATTGTAGAATAAAATACATTCAATGAAATNTGTAGAATGAAATACATTCAATGAAATACGTTCAGGAGCATACTGTAGAATATTTACGCATAAAGACATTTATTAATGCAAAAATCATGATGACAGTTTATATAAACATGAATTAATTCGAATACATGTGATTAAGCAGAAATTGATAAATTCAGCTTCATACGATTAATTCAAATACGTAATTTTATGTACATTCCTCTATTCATAAAGATTGTACAGACATAAATTCAAAGACATAAATCATAGATCGTGCATATGTACATACATGAATTGACTAAACATCAATGGACTAAATTCTAGACAGACATGCAAACAGACATGTATACAGATGTGAATTGAAAAGGCAAGTTAGAATCTGACTGCAAGTCTGCTATGTTGTACGTGTATATTAAAAAAATTCACATGTCACAAAATTAATTTTGGTACATATAGTAGATGATTATGCTTAAAAAAATTACTAAATTAACTAAACTTTGAAAAATTAAATTTTCGTGCTGATAACATGTTATGAAAGAGAGAAAAAGAAAAGATGGAATAAAAGTCAATAGACTTTTGTGTATTATAATGAGAACAAAAGCCCTATATTCATAGGGAATGAATATGGATACATATGATAATAATATGTAAGACTGCAAGAGTACAATTGTCATTTGCCAATAAATTAGCATTTACAGTACCATTAACATTGCTAATTAGATTACAACAATATTTGATGGACAAGTCTGACTAACTCGAATTAATGAGCTCTGCTTCTTGTAAGCAGAAATGGGCAGATACTCACGTGGTTTTTTTGTCAATATTTTATTCACATGGGGCCCACTCCATATAATTTTTCTGACCAATTTTTGTGGCCAAACAGAATTATTGCGAATTAATATGGTACACTTTTTTAACTTTATAGTACAACGCGTCAGGAATCAGCCAATCGGAAAAGTAGATTTCTTTCCGATATAGGATAAAAATAAATAATTTTATTTTCATTAAAAATGATGGACATATAAAAAATTGATTCATATGCACATTATTTAGTTTATTGGAGTAACTCAAATTTGGTAATCGTCCTTATACGGCCACAAAGAAAGTTATTTTGGTACCAACAAAAAAACTCTGTTTTCATTATATTAAATGTGAAGGGCTATTTTTTTTCCCCCTCCTAATTTACTCAATCAATAAAAGGGTAATTAGCAATTTACTCAATTTAAATATTATCAATACTAATCGTAAGTGGATTAACAAAAAAAATACTAATAATAAGTTCACATAAAATAGGAGGAAAAATATGATATCTTACACCTTGCGTACACTGAAAAATGAATAAGATTTCTGCTCAATTTGTGACTCAAATTCATTTAGAATTTTTGCTCAATTAACGTTCGACTGGCGCTTGAGCGTCATGCAACGCTCGCCTAGCGAAGCCACTGCTCTAGCTCTATGCCATTCCAAGGTTTCTTTATTTCTTGTTTTCCACGCGATTTTAGACCCAGTTTTCATCTTTTGTGATATCATTAGGGCTTGAACATATATTCCTATAAATAGTGGACTCTTCTCTACAATTAGATTTATTACTACAAGTTAGAATTGTATAGGAACACAATATTATTGTAATTTCTCTTTCTATTATATAGTTGAATAAAATATCAAATTCCTCTGTCAAATTAAATTCTTGTTTCTTGTGCTCTTGTTGTTGTGATGAAGACTTCATATTGTGTTGTATAACCTCATCCCGTTTCAAACAATTTCATCTTTAAATGTTGAGTTTTGCCATTTAAATCAAATTTGATTCGTGAATCTTAATAAAGCATAATTCATGCGATGCAATCTTTAACTTTTTGTAACTTTCTTTCACAAAACATGGACTTCATTTGTTTAATGACTTTTTTGTACCTTTCTTTCACAAATCATGGGCTTCATTTGTTTAAAAACTTTTTGGTAACTTTCATATCATATTGATGAATACCAAAGAGAACAATGGAATTGAGGCATGGTTGCATTTGCATGGGTAAGACATGGCTTGTTTCGAACAAGACGAGGAAATCAAAAAGTTCATCACTTAGTTTCGAAAAATCATCGTTTATGAGAGTGACCAAAATAACTGGAAGTTCCAACCAATAAGAATCCTAACGAACCTAAAAAAAAAAGGGATAAGTCAAATGAAGCCTATGATTTGTGAGAGTCAAACAAAGTGCTGTATAATTGTATTTCAACTTCATTTAGAATCTTGGACCATGACGAATCTTGTTTGTTACTTATCCTTTGTTTATGTTTGAATGTGTTGCATCTATAATAATATTTCCAAGGTTTCTACATGAATTTTTTGTCGTTTTCTTTCAATGTAGTTTGTTATGGATACATAGTCAATAATATAAAAGCGCCTTCAAAAGACTCTCTATTTATGAAGAGCGTTTTATACATATTAGAGAGCATCTTAAATTTGTAGAATAATTTTTTTTTTATACACTCTATAACGTTCTCTATTTTAACTCTTCATTTTGCTTTTTAAAGAAACATTTATTGATTTCTTATCTTTTATTAACATACATTTTTTACATGTCAATGATTAATTAATTCAAATATGATCCGAATAATTCAAGAAGTGAAATATTTTGTTAACGGTAAATGCGATTATTATTTAGTAAGCATAAAAAGTAGGGTTTCTCTATTTGGACAGCTGCGGGTGATGACTATATGAGTGAGATTTTCGTATAGGAATCTCCTCAAGATCTTGAAAATTCTTTGAAAAATCTACTACGATTTCCTTGTCTTCCGTGATAACACTGCGGTCCCCAATTTCCTCTTCACGTTCTTTTATAAATTATTTGGAATGAATAAAGCCTTTTGGTGGTTCGCCTGACTGTACTGACATTATTTTCTGCAGCACCAACCACGTGAAACACTGCAAAAGTTTAGTCTTTTCATGTGAACTTGTAAAGTAGTGGCTACTATCTTTTCACGTCGCTACTATGTTAGAATTTGAATGTGATATCTATTCATTATTGAAATAATTAAAGAAAATTTCATTGAAGTGCATGATAAAAAGAATTCGGTTTGAAATAATATTTGAGTTCTATATCAAGTTGAAGTTCTATTTTGAAAATCCATTTGAAGTTGAAATTTGGTATTGGATTTGAAGAAAAGTTCATGATGGAGAAAAAAAATTTTAAAAAAATTATTTTTTTCCCGGCAGAACACTCAGCGTCGCGACCCCCGGAGGTGGGCATCGCAGTGCCACCTTCCCTGTTCCGATTTTTCTCTCATTTTTCATTTTGGACTCAATTTTTTTGCATCCTACTTCATCAACAACTCTACGAGAAGGGTTTGGACATCTCCAACATATTCTCCATAAATATTAGGTTTTTCTATACAATTTTATGGCGTGAGAAATAGATTACTAAAATTATAGGATCCATCTCTTTTCTACATTATTTTTGAGTCAATAAAATCTCTTAATTCCTCTATCATATTTCTTGTTTTTATTGTTCTTTTACTTGATCTAATACTTCATTGTTTACCATATAACATCAAGCGGTATTCAAACAATACATAATTCTTGTATTTTCAACATTGCTAACAACGATCCGAGCATATTAATATTTCTTCTAATAAGATATATTTTGATTGTTTCACAACACACTATAAGGGTGTTTGGTGGATATTAAAATTAGATTTTTAGTAGACTTTGATAGAAGTTTTTGAAATGTGTGGTTGAAAAGTTATGGGACCCATAAAAAATGTGGTTAATATTGATTGTTTGACTTAAATTAAAATCAGATTTTAATCCGGACCAAAGACGAGCTATATTAATGAATCATGACATACGCCTTCTAACTCACACATTGAAGATTTGAAGTCATCTTAATTACCATTTTATTCAGGTAAGTAAAGTAGTATAGATACGGATTTCTTGAATAGCTATTATTTGATCTCCGGCTTTAGAAATTCATAATAATATACATATAGTGTCTAAATTATTTTGTAGAGCACCACTACCAGCATCAGCATGAAGATGAAGATTTTGAGCAGAAAGTTGATAAAGCCATGCACACCAACTCCTGAGAATCATCGAAGATACAAAATTGCATCCATCGATGAGATTAATCCAACTATGAATGTCATTGGCATTCTCTACTATCCATTCAATGAAAATATGGAACATGTACTTAACAAGATGGAAGAATCACTGGCCCAAGTCTTGCCTCAGTTTTACCCTTTTGCCGGAAGATATATCAAAAAGGCGTACTCGGTTGATTGTAACGATGAAGGTGCTGAATACGTGGAAGCTCAAGTGGATTGCGAGCTTCTTGATATTATTGGCTCTGGGGTGGAACCTGGGAAGCTAAATGATCTTCTTCCACTCGAAGTTGGTACTGCTGATGAATTCACAGATCCAATTTTGTCCATTCAAATAAACAAATTTAAATGTGGAGGGATAGCCATTGGTACATGCATTTCGCATAGGATTGTTGATGCATGTTCACTTGGCATATTCTTATCTGCATGGACAAAGGCCACCCAAGGAGACACCACTGGTGAACCCATTATCCCAAATTTTGATTCCCCATTGTACTTTCCAGGTCGGAATCTAGGTGAGCTTGATTTTGGAACCACAAGAACTAGGGATTCTACCATCGTGACCAAGAGGATCTTATTCGGTAAGAAGGAGATAGCAAACCTAAGAGAAAGAGTGAGCCACTTGTACGCAAAAAGAGAACGTCCACCCTCGAGGGTGTTGATGGTTACTTCCTTTTTAACGGAGGCTCTTTTGCGCTCTGATCGTGCAAAACTTGGGAAACCACGGGATTGCCTCATACATGTGGCAGCTAACATTCGAGAAAGAACAGTTCCACCTTTGTCGAAATATTCTTGTGGAAACTTAGTGTCAATGGGACTTGAGGAATACACTGCAGAAGAAACCAGGAGTTTGGACTTTGGACGCTTGGTTCCTATAGTGGACAGTGCAACAAGGAAAGCCGTTGCGGAATGTGCCAACTTATTGTCTGATGGTGAGTTTGGATACAAAGTCATGGTTGATGAATACATAGATATATGTGAAAAATCAAATGATGATAACTTGAACTGCTTATGGTTTACTGACTGGTCTAAGTTCGGATATTATGAAAAGGATTTTGGTTTCGGAGCACCTGTTTGGACAAGCGTTGTAAATATTCCAGTCAAAAACCTTATCATATTGATGAATACCAAAGAGAACGATGGAATTGAAGCATGGTTGCATTTGCATGAGGAAGACATGCCTTATTTCGAACAAGACGAGGAAATTAAAAAGCTCATTACTTAGTTTCGAAAAGTCCATCGTTTGTGGGAGTCGAACAAGGTGCTGTGTAATTTTATTTCTGCTTCGTTTAGAATCTTGAACTATGACAAATCTTGTTTGTTACTTATCCGCTGCATCAATAATAATGTTTATGAGGTTTTTACACGAATTTTATGTCATTTTCTTTGGATGCCGTTTGTTCTAGATAGTTAATAGTATATGTTGACCCCCAAAAATGAATTAACAGATGTCGGGCCCACTTACGCCAAGTCAAGTACGGTTCTGATGCATTCCTATCGGAATGATAACAGTAGCAGTGAGGAAATGGACGCGGGAGATACTTTTGCAGCGAGAGACAAAATTGTTCAAGTTCCGGCCGGTGGAACGTAGATGATCGAGCTAACAACAATCGGTAGATTGAACTTAAACTAATCTATGTAATCGTAAACAAGAATATGTGGAAGTAGGGCTGTTCGTGAGTCGGTTCGGTTCGGTTCTGAAGGGAACCGAACTGAACCGAACCCAAAACTTTCGAATATTTAATAAATGGACCCATTGGGTCCAAATATAATTATGGAACCGTTCGGGTTCGGTTCGGTTCCATACCATAATTAAATTTTTTAACATTTACAGCAACACTACATAAATACAACTAATGACATTTCATTCGTAACTTTTATAAATTAACGTAACCCAATTCAAAAATATATAACTAACTAGCTATCCAATAAAATTAATTCAATACATACAAATACCAAAAAGTAGATGTTAATATTAAAATATCGGTGATCTATATCAAAAACTGCAAATGGATCTCAAACTCCACCGTTTCTTGTCTTTAAAATGGGTTTTAAAATGATTTGGATATTGAGATTTAAAATTAAATTTATGAAATGATCTGATCTGATTTATTTAATTAATTTAATAATTTGTTTAGAAAAAAATAATTTAATTTAATTAATTAAATATAAAAAATAAAAAAAAATTATTTAGTTTCGCGTCTTATTCGGTTCTTCGGTTCTTAGTTTAGAACCGAGACCCGACCCAAACCCATCGGTTCTCGATTCAGGTACCCGTTCGAGTATTTAATTTATGAAGAGTTCGGTTCGGTTCCGGTTCGGTTCGGGACTTTTGAACACCCATATGTGGAAGGATAGATAAAATGTTCGTGTGTTTCTTTTCAAGAGTTCGAGTGTATGGTTCAAATATATGGTTATCCGTCATCCCCCTCCCTAATTACAAAGAAGATCTATTTATACTGGCTTGGCTGACGTGGTGACCGTTGGATTGGAACCATGTGGGTTTATCTCCTTTCCTAAGACTTCACATTACGGTCTACTCACACAATTAATACTTTGATAAGAGATTAGCCACCCTATGCAGTAGGCTGACACACTAACAAATTCATTACAAGCATCACATCAATCATTTCAGAGAGATCCTCAAATCGAACCTTCTACAAGGAAACACGTCGGTTTTGTGAGCTTCGGACGGGTTAAGCGCCTCGGAGAGATTCGAAGTGGTTCCCAAGTGGAGGACGTCGGCTTCTTTTCCAGCCTCTGGTTATGTAGTGTGAGGAGTTCGGACGTCTCGACCTTTTGACTTCTTTTGTGTGTTTGGCCTACTGGTCTTCTTTTGTCTTCCTGTTAACCACTGCCCACGTGTCGTGCCAGGTGGCCTCGTTCCACTAGGCCTTGGAATCGAGGGGTAACAGTATAAGAACAATTTTAAGAGACTCTCAATCTATAAAAAGTATCTTATGCATATTTGAGAATATCTTTAAGTTTAGCTATTAAAATTATTTATACACTTCAAAAATATTACGTATTATGGCTCTTCATTATTATATTTTTTTAAAAATATTAATTTATTTCTTCTCATGCAATTGTTAAATAATTAAAACATGATTTGAATCATTTAAGAAGTCGAGTATTGAAATCTGTAACATTAAATTCATATATTCCAAATTATAGATCATTTTCATTGTTGAGTGTATAATTGATTTCGTATTTTCTAATATATCCCTATTTAAAGTATTCTTGTTATTAACAAATATGAATTACTCTTATTAAATCATTATTCAATGTAAGGGTATATCATGAAAAATATAAATAAAATTTATCGGTCCAACTATATTAATTATATTTTCTTGTTATATATGAAAATGGAGGCAATCACATTTTTATTGGATGGATGGAGTAATATTTGGAGAATCAAACTTAGTCTCTATTTTAAAAGATTAGAATAAAATCTTTTGGAGCTCAATTTTAAACATCGACTCTCTAAAATAGATAACAGCTTGTATTTAGAGAATTTTTTGAAGATTTTTAATAATATAAATTTTAAGACTTAGCCTTTGTTTGATTCTCATTATTTTTAAAATATATTTTTCTCTCTTCTTTTCAATTACATATTTTTTTAATAAAATAACATTACACGTAAATTCAAAATTTTTTGTTATTTTGACAGCGTACATCGATATTTTCAACCTAAAAAGGAGAGATGCTTTGATTCTGGAATAATTCCTGCTGTACAGGAAATTGGTTTACAGGGGCATTACATACCCCTCACTATACAGTAGGCCCCACCCAAATGTATTAAAAAAAAAATGTGGCCCCCACCCCTTTGTGTCTCACCTGACAGGGGCATGTAAAGCAGCCCCTATAATGCAAGCTCTGCTCTTGATTCTGTATGCATTTTTTGATATTTTCAACCTAAAAAGGAGTGATGCTTTGATTCTGTATGCATTTCTTTATATTATTAACAAGTTTCAATAATTGGTGCACTCATTCATGTACTTTTTTGCAGCATGATTGGATTTGACTTGTGGTGGGGAAGAAAAGCCAGGAAAGGAAAGATACAAGTGCATTGTTGTCTAGTTTATCTATTTGTTGTGATCCTAAATCAACCCTTCACTCATTTAGAAAAACTAAAGTAAAATCCAATGTGAAGCGTTATGTGTAGTGCATGAGGTTCCAATTTTACTTGATTTTAATTGCTTTGATGTAGTTTATTTTATGCTTTTTAATTTCTAATTTAGGATCGACTAGATTTTTTTTAATTTTATTATTATTTTTATTTTTTGCGATTTTTATAATTACAACATTTTACTATCTAAACTCTAGTCATGCTTTGCTATTCCTTGGTTGTTTATTGAATAAAAATAACTATTGAATATTTTCAATTCTTGATATTTGATACTTCAAAAAAACGAGTTCAAGTTCTCGATATTCGTGCACAAATCCACGATTCTTTAATGCATAGTTTTCTAGTCTTAGGAATCAACGAATACTAGAAAGTGATGGTGATGTGATAATCGATGTGTATTAATGAGATTTCAATTGCGTTCATAGCTTTATGCTTCTGCCTACATCACGTCATTAAGTGCGATAGTGGACTAACAATATCTCTCGTTTCTCCAATTTCATTCCGATTCCTTCTATTGCCACTAATATATGGTTCTGGAGGCTTGTACAAAATGGAAAAATCATTCAATTAGAAGATATATTAGACGGAAAATTCCGTGAGTACAGGGAATTTTACCAGAAATTTACCAGAAAATGATTGTGGCCTTTGATTTTTTTTTCCCCGCCTTTTTGTATAAATCCTGGCCTTTGATTTCAAAAATCTGGCAATTGTCTGGCAAATTTTTCTATACCTATAGCAAGGTTCATATTAGACACGTTCTTAAATTATTTTTGGACANTACCTATAGCAAGGTTCATATTAGACACGTTCTTAAATTATTTTTGGACAAACACGGTCATGTTCTTAAATCATTGCGATGTGACAATCGATGTGTAATTTTTATTATGTATATCAGTATATCTTTTAAGAGATTACAACAATATTTGATGGACTAATCTGACTAACTGGAATTATGATATATATTTTTAATTTTATAATACAACACGTAAAGAATATGGCTAATAAAATAGTAGTTTTCTTCCCGATATAGAATTAAAAAATATATTATTTTCATTAAAAAATGATAAACACATAAAAAAAATTATTCATGTCCAACACAGGTACATTATTTTTTTGCTAAATGTTTCTTAAAGTTTCGAACTCATATGTTATTGTCATAGGTGGCATAAAGTAGGACCCCAGATGGGAACGTTTGTAACCAAAGTGACGCCACCACAAGCTCAGAGGAAACCTCACTATAATCACTTTGCAGTCTTTGCTTAACCTACACAAAATCAGTGACGGATCTAGGATTATAATTAAGTTAGGGCGATCGTTGACCGTTGACTATCATTATCGACAATCAACCATCGTAGTAGCAAGATCATTAATTAATATTTAATTAAGTAATATAAAAAATTCTTCAATCTATATGTAAATGCACTAAAAACGTAAAAATCATGAATTAAACTATCATCAAGTTTCAATTTCCAATTTTCAACAGCAATTTATTATTTATCATACAAAGTCACCAATTTATCATTTTCATTTATCACAAATCAAATTCGCAGTCCACAGATATCAAATATTCTAAAGTTCACAAATTCTCAAATATCATAAATCATAAACCTCATCAATCAACAATAAAATCCCCAATATTCTCAAATTCTCGAATTCACAAAATCTCCAATTTTCAAATTCAAAAAATCAAAATCAACAAGTCGATAGGCTTACAAACACAGTCATAACTTATAAACATAATTCATAAAATATAAATTATAACTTATATCATTGACTCTCAAGAGTTACGCAATCACACGGACCAATGGTGGAGATCGGAGGGGCTAGCGTCGCGCGGGTGACTCATCAACGATCGGCAGCAATCACACCGTCATAGGGTAGGGGCTGGGTGCTAGGAAGGGATTGAGAATAGAGATAGGATTGACACAATTGCACAGTTGGTTTCGTTTGGAATTGCAAATGAAATTTAAGGTTCAATTTTTCCTCTTTTCGATTCAATACAAACCAATTTATCTCATAATAGATTGGGCCTATCTTTTTTTCAAAGATGCCCAATTCTTAAAAAAAGGCCACAATTAAGAACAAAAAAAAAGCCC